TTGGTAAGCAACAACTTTGTATCATTGGTACACTGTTTATCATGTCCCTTTATTTGTTTTGAAAACACTCCAAGACATCCCTCCAAAGTAATATTTTTTGCAAAACATACAGGAATTCCTTTACCATATCTAAAAAAATAAGAAAAATTGCTAGTAATTGGTAATTCTTAAGAGGCAGATAAATTTAATAGCCAGGGATCATTGACTGCAACCACAATCTCCTTTCCTTCTCAAATCACAGGATGTAACACAGGTGGATGAGGATCATAGGCCCACTAAGTCTCACTCTGGCACCTCTGGATGGCCATTAGCAACATCAGGACAACATTCCACTGTTCCACACATTAGGCAGCCAACGAGCTTCATTTTCTTCCTGAAAAAAAAAAAAAACCTCACAAATGTGCCCTCATTCCCATATTAAAACAGGAATGGGACCCTTCCATAAACCAGTAGATGGATCTTTCCATTTGACTTGAGCAAATTTTGTGGTGGTGCCTTCATGCCAAAGTAAATCAACTGTAATTTTTTTCAGCAGCATCCACATTTAAAAAGTTTAAAACAAATAAGGCATGATTCAGTGCATTATATGGTGACTGAGGGTATAACTCCCCCTTTTTTAATTTTTGAAGTTGCATCGTGAGACTGCCATGGGCTCACTCAACAATACCTTGTCTTTGAGGATTACAAGGAATACCTGTTTTATGCTCAATTTATTGCCATTGAGAACAAAATTGATTTTAAAAAAAAGCTTTACTAATATATCCAGATCCTTTATCAATTTTAATAAATTTTGGTATCCCCATACAGGAGAAACATTTCAGGCAATGAGGAATTACATGTTTGGTGGCTTCACCAGAATGAGCACTGGCCATCAAAAATCCTGAATAAGTACCAATTGTCAAGTACATATATTTACATAGGCTGTTTTTCCATCAGATGAGCCATCAGTAAAAACTAAGTCAACTTCCTTTATTAGAGTTTGCATTACTACTTTAGGAAAAATAAAAGAACGCATCTGAACAAATTGTAATAATTGATCAGCAGGAAATGATTGTCAATTTGATCTCAAAATTAAGATTCATTAATCAACTTGCTGTTTAGTAAGTGGAACATTTATTACATTTGTTTCCTTTCCAAACTACCTTCTAGATTCAAGCCTATTCCAATTTACTGTGGCTGGTGCTTATGGTGGCTATCACCTGACAAAACTGTTAAGGTCCATCATTGCAATTGGACTCTCTATGGAACGCTAGCTCTGTCATACATTTATTGTCTCAGCTGTTTTCTATGATCCTTTCATATCTTTAAAACCATTATCATCTGGGTGACTCTTAAATGACAAAGTTTAGCTGCCAGAGCATGGTGTATTTTTGTGTATAAAAGCATTGAGGTGCAGCTTTAATATTTTATAAAATAAACATTGTTTTTAAATCCTTTTATAAACCTTGTTTTTATGACATGAATTATCATATAGAAATCTATCCCAATTCAAAGTACTTGAGGCTTGTTGCCTCCTTTGTGGCTGCATTCCTGCTGAGCTACTCCTGGCCTGGCTCCAGATAGTAGCACCTAACCCTAATCCATCCTTTGTTTAACTAATACCTTTTGTTTCTCTTACTGCCCTATGTGAATCTTGTCTGAGAGTCTCCCAAGGATCAAAGGCATATGCAAAACTTGGTTCAGGAAACCCAGAAAACCATGGTACCTGAGAAATCAAGGAATTTGCATTTGGCATTGTATCTTTGGGAGTTCCTTTCAGGTTGCTTTGAACATATGGAAATTAACTGACTAAACTGTAAATAGAGAGAAAATAAAAATGCCCTTGGCAAAGGGAAAGTGCCTTAGTCCTTAAAGACTGGACACCCTGCAGCTGAGAAAAGCTAAATTCATTCTTAAGATGCCTCTGAGTCTTCTTCCCACAGATTCGAGAGAACCCACACACCATGGTGCAACACTCCTTAGTCTAAAAGGAGATACAGTGAACAGAGCACTTATTAGGATTAAGAGAGGTATTCTTTAACCTTACTTAAAGATTGCTGCCACTCACATGGCTGCCCACTTCATGATGAGGTCACCAGCCAAGATGGAGGAGGGCTGTGTGGTTGCTGTTTAAAATTAAACAATAGTTACATGCACACACACACATAGTTGGATCCAACTTTTATACATACCCATACAGAGTTAAAGCTAGCTTATATGCACATATATAGAGTTAAATCTAAGTCACATACATGTCCACATACCTACACATGTATATATTTCCATTTGAATAATAAACATTTTGTGATGAAGAATCATTAGCTATTTTTTAAATGGAAGAAAACCAACCAGAATCAACTTAATATGGTTAAATCCCGAATATATCTTACAGTTTTCCTTCAAATTCAGCATAGTTCATATCAGGTATAACATTTCAAACAAGAACAGAATAAATATGAATATATATATACATATATATATCACATATATATCACAACAAAAAACTTTTATTTGCATCAATATATAAAAACCTGTATCAGTGTGAAACACTTGAGATTAGTAAATTTTCTACTCTTAACCAATAATAATTTGTAATCAATTCTCTTAAAAGCTGACAAGTATTTGTAACCCACTGAACTCAAGTGACCAAAATCCATATTTTTTTTCTTTTCCTGAGGAAGCAAAAGCATAAGTTTTCCCAAACATAATGTATCTTTGGCTTCTATTCTAAAGTCAAAGCTTTTCAAACTATGCAGGCTGGTAATTCAACATACTTCTCTTCAAGCAGTATCAGGCTAGAGAAGGGTTAAGGTGGGAAGCTGCTGGCCAGCAGAAGAGACCTTGATGTTATCACAGTGAAGAAGAACTTGACTTAGGAAGTAAGAGAGGAGGAGCGGTAGGTACAGAGTGTGTCCTTGGTTGCCAGTGTTCCTGGCACTTCACCTGTAGCTCCCATCTCTGTCCTTTCTGCACCAAGAGCATGCACCCCCCACCCTCTGTGAGAGCCATTCAGCTGGCTGCAGGCCTCTCCTGCAGGCCAAGACCAGCCTTGCCCGTGCTGTGGGCCTGAAAGTAAGAGAGTTGCAGAGGGAGGTGGCCCCTGCTGTGCCTCTCTCTTCTTCTCTTCCAGGAAAATGAGGGAGGTTAGGAGACAGAAACAAATAACAATAACACAGACAACCAGGTACCAGTACATCAGCACTGAGAGGACAGCCCCACTCGTGGCTAGTGAGCTCATCTCAGTTCAGTCAGGGAGACCCAGTCCCCTTAAACACATGGAACAGAACAGTAGCGTAGTAACCGTCAGAACACAGACCAAGGCAGAGAGTGCTCGCATTGACATTTGCTGGCTGGCTGTGAACAGATCTGAAAGTGACACACCTAACTAACAACTTGCAGTCATGACCCACTCAATCTCTCCAGAGGAACCACTCGTAGTCAGGAGGGGAGGAGAGAGGGAGAATCTTCATCATGGTACTTAGCAGCCTTTTCCTCTAATTCCGCCTCACCACCAGGATCTAACTGGTCATTATCATCAGATAACTTTGTAAAAGCATCCACCACATAGAGTGGTCCCTCTGGCAGAACACAAGATTTAGTTTCAGTTTTACTTGATTTGGTGAATGCTCTCTGCCTTTCAGGATGGAAGTCTAAACTATCCTGAATAAGTGTCCAGAGACTAAAGTAGAACAAAGCACAGCACAGTCTAGCCTGTCCTTGAATCAAGGAACAGGCAGTTTCATTATCTCAAACACGTGCCACTTGCTAACATCAGCAGCCTGCCTAGAATTGGGCATTTGCTAGATAATTAATTCTTTTTCACAAGCTAAGCAGGTCGTTCTCACAGCCCCTGTACTTTTCCCAGGAGCCTGAGCAGAGCTTTCTCACAGCTTCTGAAGAGACGAGAACAAGCAAGCTTTGAACCCTTTTTGGTTAGAATGGACTTCAGATTCAAACTGAGTCCCTGTGGGAAACTATGGGTCTCCACAGTGGGTACCGCCTACAAATACCCATAAAGTAAAAATTCACTGCAGTTAGTAGCACAAGTAAGATTTTGAATTTCATCATACTGACAGTTGTAACCACACCAGGTCAATTAACTTCAGGGCTCTGCTGACTTTGGTCATTCACAGGCAGTAGAAAATTTTAGATGGATGCTTGATTTTAATATTCTGAGAAAATAATCTTGTGACTGTTGAGGCCACTGATAGATGCAGAGTGACAGCTTAACCTCCTCACTGCTCTGACACCTCCTGTCTCTTTATGATTGGCAGGTGTCTTTGATAGCTGGAAGAACCATTTCGCCATGGCCCAGAGTGAAGCCCTTGACAAGGTCTATCAGGAGAAGACGTTGAGTTTAGATCCAGGTCTCTTCCCCTGGTCCTGAGACTTTAAACCTCTTAAGGTTCCTGAGCATGAGCTGCTTTTGCCTTTTTCCTCTTTACTCCTTCTGTGACAAGCAGTTTGCCTCACTCAATAGAGCAAAAAGTGATATTTTTCCAGTGCTCAACTCTCACCTGAGTCCAAGGCCAAGACAGCAAGGCATATACCTCATAACTAAAATGGAATGACATGCAATATATATAGCATTAATAGAAATTTCACCTTTGGAATCTTTAGTGATAACAATACATTCTATTTTGTTCAAAGGGGTACATACAGAGGGATTCTTTACTCATCTCCTGTCTAATGTGTTGAGTTAGAAGGAGCAGACCTTATAACCCATTAAGTTGATGTTTAAGGAACATGGGTTTAGTCAGTTTTAGACCAACCTTCAGCAGAGCACAATTATATGCAAGACAACCGAAGGTCGTAGATAACTCAGCCACTGAGTCCAACAGATCCTGACCAGAAATCATTTCACATCGACAAAATGATTATAACTTAACTCTTAACATTAAAATCAGTGAGCACCATGCCTGACTAAAAAAAAGATGTTCAGTTCATATTTGTGGAATAGAATATTTTTAATGGTATTACTCAAGCTGTCTTCTGGGTTTGGTATTTTTAATGACTGGTTTTCAATGGTTGAAGAGCACAGAACAAGGATCCTTAGGATCTCTCAAGATCAACAGGAAGGGAGAAATAGTGGGGTAGCTAACAGCCAAAACTTCACCTATGTGCCTCAACCAAAGACGAGAGTCCATTAAAAATGTCTGACAGACGATAGAAATAAAATTTAGGAGGTACAGGGCAACAAATGTGACCACCACCATCAAGATGGTGTGGGCTGCTCTGGTCTCAGCATGGCCTCTGTGGTTCTGATTGGGAGTGAGGATGTGCTGTGTTCGCTGGCGATGTCTATGGAGGAGAATCACCATGGAGACACTGGTCCAGGCCATGATGCTGATGAATGTAGCATCATGGGCAAAACGCAAGAAGACAATGCCTACACTGAAACCAGATGTGGAACAGAGCAACTTGCTTTTAGAAATAGTGTCATTGCTTGTGTTCTGTGGGCCAGTGACTTTCATTGGAATGTAGACATTATTTAAGATGCCGAGCAACCAACAACTGTAACAAGAATAACTCACCAAATTTGGGACCCTTCCTCTAAGCATGACCCAACCCCAGTTACCAGGAAGAAGGGTGACACACTGATAGGTACTCAGGACACAGGTGGAGCACAAGTTTATGCTTCGAGACACCAGGCGAATGAAGTGTTCGAGTTTACACTTGAGGTCGGTCAGAGGACTCCTCGGAGCAAAAACCATCACATCGTTTGGAAACCCAGCGACGAGAAGAATCAAGGTGTTGGCCACAGCCATGTGACTGAGAATCGCCTCTGTGGGCTTCAGCCGAATGCCAGTCAAGACTGGAGAGAAATTACGGACAAGCAGAAAGATGTTGGCCACAGTCCCAGCCCCAACCTGGCACAGCAAGACGATCTGAAGAGCCACTTCCTCAGTGGTTTTCAAGGCTGTCTTATGAGCAGACATGGAGGGCGTGGTCACTGGACGATGGAGTGGTGATCGGGTGGGCCAGTGCTGTCCTCAAGGCTTTGCTCTATTCTCCAAGCTTACCAATTGACTTGGGGTGGTTTGTTCTCCTGAGAAGGAAGACACTACTATATCATACTACAGGAGCTTTGCCTAGAAGACAAAGCATGGACATTAACTCAGAATAAAATTTTGTGCTGATTGAATTCCTCCTGCCTGGAAATGAAACTTGTGTGGATCCTGCAAGTCTATCATTATTGGTCAAAACACAATGACACACATTTCAACATTCTATGGGCTTTGTATATGAATACAGGAAAGTGGCTGGTGTGAGCACACAGTTCCTCATCACTATTCAATACAACTTCCTTACGTTATAGTAATGTGTTAAAAATAAAGGTTTATAGGCTACCAATAAAGTTGTATAGCTAAATTAAGTAGTGAGAAATCAACCTGTTGGCTTTTGAGAAAAATTTATACTACTCATTCACATAACAGAATGCCAATTATTTCTGACAAAGCCACTATTGTTCTGATCACACAGGTTTATCTGTGTATCCTCTATACAAAAAAAAATCCCCATTTGCCAATGAGTCACATTTATTCACAATTTTAACTATCTTAGTTGTCATTCTAAGCAGTCAGGTCCCAGAAACTGTACCATCTCCAGCTCCCCTCAGTTACATTTAAAATCATTACACAATCACAATTATACCCTTTGCAAGCCAATGCCTGGTCTGCGTCTCACTGGGTTGTATGTTTTCCATAGGAACACTTAGCCTCCAGGCATCAGCTAAAACCCACCATCCCACATACAGATGTCACACCGAGTGCTGTTTTCAGGTGAATGCTAATCCGTGCAACAGACATTTCTTTGAGATGAAAACAAAACATTGGCCTATGTTAATTAAACTGCAGACTTCCGCAAGAAACAATGAGTCATGTTGGCTTCAGAAGAGAATGAACAGTGAAAAAGGAAGAAGGGAATTTTAAGAAGTCTATGGTTGAAAGAACCCCACCTTCTGAGCCACAGCAAGGATGAGGATGCTCACAGGATGAAGGCCAGCTCCTGAGCACAGTTCCTGTTGAAGCATACCTCAGAGGGCCTCGCCCACTGAAGACCTCCTCTGTGTAGCTCTTGGCCTGAGAAAGAACGCAAGGAACTTAACTGTTCCTTATTTTCCAGGCAAAGCCGTGAAGGGGACCCAGAAGAGTCTAGGTTTCCAGTGCTCATAAAATAACAGCGTACCTGGATGTGACATCCCTCAGAGAGCTCATTACTGTGTCATCTGTGGTATCTGTGAGATTGTCTGCATGGAAACTTTGGGATACCTCCAATGAAGGAAAACTCATTTATCCCCAGAGCAAATCTCCTTTTTTACCTTCTGGTGATTAATGATGATGTCTAGGAGTTTATTAGATCTTAATGTGTAGATGGGCAGAAATTAGAAAAAGTTTTTCATGTTTACTTTGGGAGAATCTAAGTTCTGAATTGATCTTGTAGTCAGGTGTGAATTGCTGTACTCAAGGGTAGTTCAAGGAATTCGTTATGTGTATTTCCAGGGAGTACTTTCCTCCATATTATTTCACTCTTGCAAGATCATGCTGACACCAAGTCTTTCCAGAAAGTCATCAACATGTTGTTTGGAGTCTGTTATTCTTCAGGAAGTTATTTCATTCCATATTTTCCCACATGTGTCCTAGGACATTTAAGTCTGACAGATTTATTAACTGAAGTCATTGTTTTCCTCCCGAGTCCTGGGGTTACTCCAATTGTTTTCATGTAGCTCATGACTTGTTTTCTGAGACACTCATGAATCCTGGCTGGAGACCTAATAGACTGCGTTAGTATCTGGACAATCTGCTGTGGAAAGAAGCAATCCTGGACATACAGGCAAAAAAATATGGATTGAGGAATCACTAAGAAGTAAATGTATCCAACTACATTCATTGTTGCTCTAGGTTTAATAGAAAACTAGAGACTTAGTTTTGATTTTCAAGTGGTGTAAAGTAAAAACTCCTGTGATAAATCCAAGAATTGAATCTTCTAAACCTTTATTAATATTCAGACCTGCAGCAAGATTGTCTCAGGCACAGTCAAGGAACATTTACTTGGATGTGTAAGAAGCAAACTATCATTGCACATATTTTTCCTAGGGAACACACCAGCATTTAGGAGATATATATATATATATATATATATATATATATATATATATATATATATATATATGTGTGTGTGTGTGTGTGTGTGTGTGTGTGTGTGTGTGTGTATGTGTGTGTGTGTGTGTGTGTGTGTGTGTGTGTGTGTGTGTGTGTGTATGACACAAAAGGGAGAATAATATGTCCTTTATTGCTCTGGTATCTTATGCTGGTCTAGGAAAAGCACATATACCTCTGTTTTCAACTGTAAAATTTGTGTTGGCCAATTGACAATTACACATGGGATATTAGCCTCACAAATTCATATCTAGATATGTGGGGATTTTTTGAATACCAGCAAATATATTATAGAATTTTTCCTTGTCTTGTGGGAAATCCTGTTCATTTGAATATGAACATTCATAATAAAAGATGCTATGAATCCATTGGTATTGTTGTTTTACAGCTGAATGCACTTAGGTTCAAAGAAATGAAGACACCTGAGCACATTCACATAGCTAAGAAATGACAGAGACTAGATTCTGTGTCTCCACAATGCTACACTACTGTTACTGCATCAGTTAGTATTTGCTTTAAAATATTTTCTGTTATCTTTTTTTAATGTTTTTAAATTCTTCTTTTATATATTACATCCCAAATGCAGTTTATTCTCCAGGGAGGGAGGGGAAACTAGATGTGTGTTTTTCATGTGGAATAACCTTAAAAGTCAGGAATTTAATAAGGATCGTGGGACAATGAAGGGATAGGAGATAGAATATAGTGATATAAAGGATTAAAGAAGAGTAATGGTACATGAAGAGTTAAATCTGGGCATGTGTAGGAGGGAAACATAGAGGAGGGAATATAGATATGGATAACTAACCCTAAGTGTCTTTTGAAAAACAGTACAGAAACATACTAGTATAGGAGCATCCTATAATCTGTACACATGCATATTTCAGAAGAGTTTTTTTTTGTTGTTGTTGTTTTTTTTTTTTTGGTTTTTCGAGACAGGGTTTCTCTGTGTAGCTTTGCGCCTCTCCTGGAACTCACTTGGTAGCCCAGGCTGGCCTCGAACTCACAGAGATCCGCCTGGCTCTGCCTCCCGAGTGCTGGGATTAAAGGCGTTCAGAAGAGTTTTAATGAAGTTACACTACACTAGGTAGACAGTAGCCCAAATAGAAATCTCATGCTGAATAATGTAAATCCCAATGCCAGGATTGGTTTATTTTTTTTCAGTTGCTTGCTAATCAACTCCCATAGGCCCCCAAGTATAATAGGCCATTACCAATACTGCTGGCATCTCTCCAAAACTTGGTGGTTGAAGACATCACATACTGGACTCAAAGAACATGGAGAAATCAAACTGGCACTTACCTTGAAGATTTGTATACCTCCCATGTGTCCATAGATGGTATGAGAAAGGAGGCTGACAAAGTCATGTGGCACATCCAGATTTCATAGTCTTGGAAGGTGATATACAAAGTCCTTGAGGAGAAAGAAAAGCTGCCAGAAATCCCATTCTATTGTGAACCTTGCAAGCTACAACGAAGTCTGGCATAATGAGACTTGCGCAACAGTGGCATGAATGCCATGGGAGAAACCAACCACTTTCCCTATTCGATCTGAGTCCCAGTCAATGAGCTAGAACTCATAAGTGACACTGTTTACAAGACTAAGAACATGTGGGTTGATGGTTAAAAGAACTCAACACTCATGTTCTGCTTAATGGACAGAGCAATGAAACATTTCCTAATGACTTATTGCTAGACCTGTAGATCAATATGTATCTCAGCCCTCATCAAAGAAGCTTCTTGGAGTAGATGTCAATTAACACCGGGGTTGTCAACTGGTTAGTATGCAGAGAATATGAAACTGGCTTGCTCAGTCAGATGTACATATCATTCCATTTCCCACCAAGGCTTCAAAGTCTTCATGAAGTAAGGAGTGAGCAGAATTTTAGGGCCAGAGGTAGCTGATAACGTCAAGGGAATGGTGTTTTCTGGACACAACAGGGGCAGTTACAGATATTAACCCACAGGGATTGTAACAGAATGGACAATTAGTTTTAGTCAACAGGACAGAAGAATCTAGAGTTTTCTGGAAAGACAACCTCAACTGGGAAAATGCCTTTATCAGATTGTCTGTAGTCAAGTCTGTGGGGCATTTTCTTGACAATAATAACTTGGTAAGGTGTTGGGAGCCATGAGACCTAGTTTCAGACCAGTATAAGAGTGCTTGTCCAATGGGTCTCCAGATGAGGCAAAAGTCCACAGAGACAGTCTCACTTGGCAAGGACCAGTGGACTTTGGGACAGCACAGGATACTGCTGGGCCCATGCAGCCTGCACGCTCTCTTCTCCCTTGTAATATTGATGATTCTCTTGGAGGTTTTAGTGTCACTTTGTCAATCATGTACGGGACAGATGTGATCATTCCTGGAAATCCCATTTTTCTAAAATATTTTCCCCTAAAATTCTTTGGGAGCTAATACTTCTCAGGTTTCTTGTCTGGGGATGTCAGCTGTCACTCAGACCCCAGCTGTTCTGATTCAATGCTGATAGGATAGGAGGCAGATCCTCCCTATTTCTTTAAACATGTTTTGAACAGGATTGTTGTTCTTGAAAATGTGTGCCTATGTCAATCACCTTTAGTTTTGTAAAGACAGGATGTACTTGGCTTGATATGAGCCAAGCTAACAAAATGATAAGTGTTGTTTTTGGTTTAAAGATGATTTGATGCAAAGTTGGGAAAAATATATTTGACATATTTTTTTTTGCTGGAAGTTAACAATGGAGGATGGGAAAAACTTGTTTGCTAGTGTGAAAAAACACGCTTGTTTTTGATGTACAAATAAAG